TTGAGAAAGGCAATCCAAATATCTAATTTATCCTCAGCCACTCCTTCAGATGGACAAGGGAGGGAAATTCTGTTCCCTTAACAGATGAGGTCACCAACGGACCAAGTTAAGACAAGCTGAGACTGGAGTCTCATTACCCTGATTCTGCAGGTGTCCCATTAATACCAGATTCTATTTTGGATTCCTCTCCCTCAGCACTGTCCCCATCACTCTGATGACCCCATGTCTGCATGCAATTTGACTGCAAATTAACATTTGGTTTCCTCTTGGAGGAACATCAACCTTGATGTCAACCGTAGCCAAAATTAGTCTCTGGCTCTGTACTCCATCCTACATTTGCAGAGAGATCACACAATCATTAAAGTGGTCACCAATTAAATTCATAAGAGAGTTAAACCAGAATAATGGCAGAAAAGTAAAAGCACAGTAATTTACATAATAAAAGACTCACACGGGAATTTTAAGGTTGGTTGAGGCAAGAGACAAGATAACCAGAAGGACCTGGTTGTGGGGGGGGCGCGGGGGGGGGGGGGGGGGGGAGGGTGCCTCCAGAGGCTCAATCAACTTTCATCAAATGTTAGAAAAGAAGAAAGGGTTGCTTTGTCTCTGGAGGGGTCCTGGAAGACCACAGGGGTTCAGCAGGGCATACTTACCACCTCATTATGAGGAATAACTCTTTTTTTAAAAAAGAGAAAGAAAAAGATCAGTGGTGGCAGGGACTGGAGGAGGGAGGGATGAAGAGGCAGACAGAGGATGTGTAGGGCAGTGAAACTCATCTGTATGATGCTATAGTGGTAGCTACAAGTCATTACACCTTTGTCAAAACCCACGGAATGGACACAAAGTGAGCCCCGCAGTGCACCGTGGACTTGGCAGATTATGACAAACCCACGGAATGGACACAAAGTGAGCCCCGCTGCGCACTGTGGACTTTGGAGATTATGATGTGCAGGTCCATCAGTGGTAACAAACGTACGGTCTGGTGTAGTATTGATCATGCGTGAAGGCAATGCGTATGGGGGCAGGAGGTATATGTGAAGTCTTTGTACTTTCTGCTCAATTTTGCTGTGAACTTAGCCCTGCTCTAAAAAAAAAAAAAAAAAAAAAAAAAAAGTCCATTTAAAGGGGAAGAGAAAAAAAGTCAAAAATGTTGCCCTAAATCCATTTATTCTAAATGACAGTCTTGCAATCTTTCCTTTTCTTATTGCCAAAACTCTCTTATCTTTACATATGTAAATGCTCAAAGAAATATTTCAAAATACCAATTACTTAATATTTTCTCCTAATTTTCTCAAAACTGAGTGTTCCTTTCCAACACACACACACGCACACACACACAAATGACCCTCTTTCTTACCGCTTATCCCGCATATACCCCACCACACACGTTTCCCTGTAATGATGATTCCCTCCTGTCAAGTAATCCTCCTATTGGAGTCCATGATTGGTAATTCTTCCGATAATTAGCATCAAGCGGTACAGCATGGGAGTGTCCCCTGCCAGCCTCAGCCTCACTCCACCTTAGTGAGGTTTTCCCTTATTAAATTTCACAAAGGGAAGGGGGAATCCATGCAAATTGCATGGATCAAGAATGTGGTTCTAGTAGGTGTGACAGGAGGGACAGGGATGAGGGCAGTTTTGCTTCTTTGGATGCTCCATGCTCCAATAAATATAGTAACAGTAATAGCAAAAGTAAATGCTTCTCTGCACATCACTGTCTGCCTGCTGATTTCTCCATGATGATCCAGAAAAGCAGGCATATATCCATATTCTTCTTCACCCCACAACTGCACACAACCCTTCACCACCTTCCTACGGTTGAGAGCTTCATTGAGCAGGACAAGCCCTCACCACCTTCTCATCCGTCAGCTAATCCTTACTTCCTAAATCAATCAAAATATAGCAGCAACTAGTCTAACGGCCAAGAACTGGAAACTCTCCCAAAGTCCTCCAATAGGAAAGCAGATTTTATAAAAGCAGGATTTCCATACAGTGGAATAACCAGCAGTAAGAGGAATGACTTACATAGTGTGGACGACTCCCATAAGCATGATACTAAGTAAGGTGGCTGCAAGAGAGCACAATAAACATTACAATTTTTTTTTTAAAAAACTGGAATATTAGGGGTGCCTGGGTGGCTCAGTCAGTTGACCATCCGACTTTGGTTCAGGTCATGATCTTGTGGTTTGTGAGTTCGACTCCACATCAGGTTCTGAGCCGTCAGCACAGAGCCTGGAGCCTGCTTCAGATTCTGTGTCTCCCTCTCTCTTTGCCCCTCCCCCACTAAATTCCCCCTCCCTGGTCTCTCTCTCAAAAGTAAACATTTAAAAGATGTTTAAGAAAAATTTGACTTTTTAGAACAACACCTCTAGCACCATTGGGCCATAAGCCTGAATGTGATCTGCCACCTGAACACATCTCCAATATGACCCCAGCACTACAAAATTATCTTGAGATCAGGATCAGGATTCGTGTGCACTTTTATCTGCCACAGCCTCTAGTAAATGAGAGCCTGGCTTGTTTAAATAAATTAAAAAAAAAAAAAAAAAACACCAAGGTTCTCAGAATTGGTGGGATTTTGGGTTGAAATCCTGGTAAGTATTTACCAACAGTGTGACCTTGGGCCAGTGATTTAACCTCAGCCACCCTCCTATCTTAGTCTACAGTTAGGACTGTTGCCTAACCGGCAGGAGAATGAAGCCCAGAGACATAAACTCACATAGCAGTTCTCCCCACTACCTGGTGCAGACCTCTCTGAACACCTTCCCGACTTAGGAAATAGGGTCTGTAAGAGTGAGCATTTACCAAACACCTATTCTGTGCCACGCACTGTTCCAGGAGCTTTACATGTTTAACCTGCTTCACCAATTCTACTCTCAAGTGAGGACACTGGGCCACAGACACATTAGACTGCTGGGCTAGGAAATGGCAGAGCCTGGACGGAAGCTCAGGCAGTCTGACACACCAACCCTCGTTCTTAATCACACGAATACCTGTTCTGCCTAATGAGGATAAAAACATGATGTTCTGTTGGGGGCGGGGGGGGGGGGTTCTTTTCGTGAAAAACTAAAAAATCAGGGGATTATGATTTTTAAATTAGGAACAGTCAATATGAAGCTTGCAGTGAGTTACCTATATAACAATACCTGTCAGGAAACATGCCAAAGAAAGATTTATGTGCACCTTTTAGCCATCACCTCAACCGCTGTGGTTTCTGCACCATTGGGAAATGTGATTCAGCACCACTTTTCAGGATTGAAAGGCTTCTATGTCCCCTTTTCATTTGTTTGAAAAGTACTTCTTGCAGTCAGAGCCAGGGGGATAAGCCAGGAGCCCCAGAGGTCATCTAGCTACATGAAAACCCTGAGGCAGGCAAAGAGAAATGTGTGACTTCTCCACATCAGCCAGTCAAATGGGCCAAAGGCTATTATGTCTGGTGGGACCCGGGTCTCCCGACTTCTAGCTTGGTGTTGTGATCCTGACACATGGCTTGTGGTTTAAAGACTGGTAAAGCACGATAATCACACCAGATAGAAGCAGGAGGGGCATGAACATTGGAGCCCAGAAGAGAGATTCACCACAGATTAGCACTCAGGAGTCAGCAGTTAATGGCTGTATTAACAGAAGCAGAGCCCCTGAAAGAAAGAAGGTGATAAATGGTGATAAATAAGTCTAATCTACCTATACCAAGTCTGGGGTATTGCACTTATTCTTAGGCACTACAGATTTTCCAAGAAGGAGAGGGAGACTGGGGCGGTGGTGGGGGGAGGGGGGATTTGTCTTCAAATATCTGGAGAACTATTCTAACCCCTAGTAAGTTTGATCAAAAAGAAAAAGGAAAGGGGCCATACAAATAAAATCAGAAATGAAACAGGAGAGATCACAACCAACACAGTGGAAATACAAACAATAATAAGAGAATATTACGAGAATTATACACCAATAAACTGGGCAATCTGGAAGAAATGGACAAATTCCTGTAAACATATAAACTACCAAAACCGAAACAGGAGGAAATAGAAAACTTGAACAGACCCATAACCAGTAAAGGAATCAAATTAGCAATCAAAAATCTTCCAGAAAAACAAGACTCCAGGGCTGGATGGCTTTCCAGGGGAATTCTACCAAACATTTAAAGAAGAATTAACACCTAGTGTCTTGAAACTGTTACAAAAAATAGAAATAGAAGGAAAACTTCCAAACTCTTTCTATGAAGCCAGCATTACCTTGGTTACAAAACCAGATAAAGACCCCACTAAAAAAGGAGAACTACAGACCAATTTCCCTGATGAACACAGATGCAAAAATCCTCAACAAGATACTAGCCAACCAGATCCACAATACATTAAAAGAATTATTCACCACGACCAAGTGGGATTTATTCCTGGAATGCAGGCTAGCTCAATATCCGCAAATCAATCAATGTGAAAAAGGAGAAGAACCACAGGATCCTGGGGAACTGTCGTACCGGAGGGAGTTCAGATCCACACTATCCTCAAGAACTGTCATACGGGAGGGAGTTCAGATCCACACCCCCCTAGAGAACTGTTGTACGAGAGGGAGATCAGACCCACAGGATCCTAGAAAACGGTCGTAAGGGAGGGAGTTCAGATCCACGGGATCCTGGAGAACTGTCAGTCGGGAGGAAGTCGGATTTCCACTCCGGCTCTTAGGAGCCCTTTCAGAAGCGGGGTAACCCAGGGAAGCAGCTGAAAAGCAGCGACTGGGAAATGAGACAGGCCACAAGTCCCACACGGTCACTCACTAGCTATGACCCTGGGACAATGTCACCTTTCCGACCCTGACTGTGTGTCCAGTGAGTGAGGTTCTTTCTTCCAGGAAGCTGGTGGCAAACACACCAGCTAAAGGGCACCAAGGCTCGCCTCCCACACTATGGCGCTCACCACCGGGCTCCGCGCGCCGGGATGTCCTCGTGCAGCCACGGCGTCACCTCGCGCGTGGAGGCCCCACCCCCAACACCCCGGGGGCTCCCCTGTCAGCGCAGCCACAGCGCGGGAGCCCTTCCTCCTGCGGGGTCGCCCCCCCCCCCCCCGCGTCGTCCCGACCCCGGAGGGCTACCGGACGCTCGTGCAACCGCCGGTGCGCGACCTGCACCTGCAGGCGCACGCGTGCGACCTCAGGTGTCACCGGCGCTGCTGGATGCGGGCTTCACGGCGAGCGTGGCGCCCCTGTGCGGCCGCTTTGCGCGACTGTGCCCGCGTGCCCCCAGCTGGCGGCGACGGTGCGGGACGCGGGGAGGGGCGGGGGCAGGCGTGACACGAGGCCGCCGGCCCCGCCCGCTGCACCTCCCCAGCTCCCCGCGCCCCTCCCCGCGGCGCCCCCGCCCCTTCCCGCCCCTCCCCACTCCCTCCCCTCCCCGCCTCCCTCGTCCCCCTCCCCGCCCCTCCCCGCTTTCCCGCACCCGTACCGCACGCAGGCAGGAACCTCGTGGGTGCGTGTGCTCCGCCCGCCGCCCCCCTCCACCCGCAGGCCGCCCGCGCCTCTACCACCGGGTTCGCTTTGCTCCTACCGGGCGGTCCAGCCGGCCCTCAACCCGCTAGTGTCCACGCTGGGGAAGGAGGAAGTGAGGGGGCGGCGAGGAAGCCCTGGGGAGTCTGGGGAGGGGGCGGGCCCGGGGGTGGGGATGGCCACCGGGAAGGCGGTCTGCGGGTTCCGTGTGCGAACCTGCAAGTGCCCAAGGTCGGACGGGGCGGGGCGATCCTGAGCCCCTGAGGTCCGGGAGTGTTCGGGGCAGTCCCTCCATCCCCGTTTTCACGGTTCAGGCAGGGGAGAGTGGCCTTCGGGCGGAGGCAGAGAGAAGGCAGGATTGGGGGAGGACATTCCCCATCCTCGGGGCACTGTGACCGCCCTTGCCAGGGTCAGGTATCACCGGACGGGTCACGTCCACCCGCTCCCACTCGGACGGCACACCATGAAAAGACCCCACGCTGTCTGGCGTCAGGGAGGCCCCCAAATTGACCGGGAAATCGTAGACTCTACCTGCAGGAGACCCCGTCCGAAAACAGGATCCCCGGTTGACCAACCTAATGCCCACCAGGAGCATTGGACCCCTAAGTGTACCGAGCAGCGGGACAGGGGGACAGGGGGACAGGGAGTGGGTGAGCGGAGGAGGTGGAGGAAAGGGCCCCGCGCTCCCCGGAGAGGGCCGGTGACGGTGATGGAGGCAGACCACACCTTCCAGAAACCCCTGCCCCAAGGACCTCCCACTGGAGACACAAAACCTCTGGGTCCTGGGGAAAATATTTTCCCATGCTCACCATCTTCCCCAGAAATGAGAACAGTTTGGTGACCGAACGTAAAGAGTAAGAAGGGACACAGTGCCAGGTGACATTTCATACCAAACAGCTTTAAATAGGGACACGGGATATACTTTAATTTGAATTTCTAAATTCTTTATTAACAAGGCTGTAATCACATCAGAGTACTTCATTTATGATGAATCATTTCAGTGTTCTCTGTAAGTAGAAATTCAGTTTGGTTCAGCATATGGTGTGATATTACAGATGAAACATATCGATGGAAACACAGAAATTAGTAGAACATGGATCCCAATCTAAAACTTACACTAACTTGCTGGACAAAAGAGGAAACAGCAGTGTCTCTATAAATCGGAGGGGGCCAGGGAAAGATTCAATTGCAAGCTGGCTTTGATGCTGTCTCTACAGTGCCTTAAAGATTTATGTTCTGCTGGAGTCACATGCACAATCTTGCCACCTAATCAATTATGTGAGATCCAGGAAGATGGGAATTAGAAAGCAGAGTTTTTCTGCAGCCCTTCCTCCCCACTTAACCCCACATCTTCTCTATCTTTCCCATTAATTTGGGGAAATCATCAGAGGATGTGGGTGGTGAGTAAGGGCTAGCAGTAGGTCTTCTGCTCCTGGATCACCCACCCATGATGCAGTCACCCCACCCCACCCCCACCAGATACAGTAGGTCGTCATGAGGAGTGAACTGCCCCCCCTTTTTTAAATTTTTTTTAACATTTTTATTTATTTTTGAGACAGAGAGAAAGCATGAACAGGGGAGGGTCAGAGAAAGAGGGAGACACAGAATCCGAAACAGGCTTCAGGCTCCGAGCTGTCAGCACAGAGCCCGACACGGGGCTCGAACCCACGGACCGCGAGATCATGACCTGAGCTGAAGTCAGACGCTTAACCGACTGAGCCACCCAGGCACCCCTAAACCGCCCCTTTTGATGCCATACTCCCCCATGGTCTTCCCGTCTTCCAGCTTCTTGCCATTGCAAACCACAGTCTGTTTCTCAGGCAGGCACTACAGCCATCTTGCTCTCAATCATCTGTCTCCCCTGGGCCACCGAACTGGACCTTCGCACCTGGAGGAGGTGCCTCTGCCCCTCATCACCAATCTCCACCAGAAACAGGGACAGCTACTCGTCACTGGGCTTCACCACCTTTAGAGTGAGGTGGATGGTCGTCTGCCTGTCGATGCCATAAGATGACAGCTTTCTCTGGGGCTTGAGAGTCTTGGGTCCCAGCAGAAGGACCTGGTCCTGCACAGGAACGTTGGTCTGAGCCCAGACATATTCAGTGATCTTCTTCACTCTGTTGTCCAAGTTAGCAGTGAGGGTCATTTATGCCCATTCCTCAGAACAGACCTCCACCTGGACAATGAAAGCCAAGCGACCCGGCATCAAGGTGACTGGAATGCCTGCAGCCTTTGCACCACTTGTCCCCTCTCTGACCCACCCGGCTGGCCCTCCAGCTCCTTCACAACAAGCTGTGGCCCTCCCTGTCTTGGAACTTCTTCTTTGGAATTTCCAGCTTAGAACCCAAGAAAATCAATCATATTCCTTTACAGCCATACCTCTTCTTCATCCCAGCGTCATTGATGGTTTCCCACATTACTTGCCTCCCTCCTATCCATGTAGTTTGTCAAAGGTCAGAACTAAATACAATTACAAAGCATCCAAAGATATATACCAGACTCTAAAAACAACTCCCAAGAGAATTCCCAAGACTTGGTGGCCTCAGGGGTTACTCCCAGCCCTGCCCTCCAGGACTACCTTACAAGGAAACCCTGGCTAGGATGCCTATTCTCTGTACAATTGTTTCATTTTTTAAATGTCCCATGGCCTTATAATAATAACTCAGTGTGTTATGTGCCTTGGTCATCTGTATTTCCTGTGTTTTTATATATGCCTGTTGTAGAATACGATCTCCTCCTGTAATTAGACTAGGGCCTCACTCACAGGAGGTAGAGGCCAGGTCTGAGTCCTACTTGAATAATCTAAAACTGGGCAAGCTTACCCTGTGTCATTATCAGCAAGCCTGGGAGGCCCTCCCTCCTGCTCCACTCAAACTCATCTTCCCAGTCTGGATGCCACAGACATTTCTTCACTGGACTGGGGCCCCTCCGTGCCAAGCTCTTATCCTAGCTCTCTTCACGGTGCACATACTCTTTACAAGATAATGTATCAGGTCTTTAACAGCTGGGGATAAATGAGTCTTGTGAACTGCTCTTCTGGGAGGAGAAGGAAGTTTAAGAGCCCAGGACCCCTAAACACAATAAGAGTCAAAGGGCTTGCATGGTTTCAAGTCTTGGCAGCCCCGTTGAGCACAAGGCCCACTCATACCTCCCACCACCCTCCCCTAAGCAGCCTGTCAGATCTGACACAGAAGAGAACCCAGGAGTCAAGTGAACCTCTTCTATTTCCAGAATCTTCCTTCACCTCCGTAGATATCGGTGCCTGGTGCATCCCTGCAAGATGGCTTCCCAGCTCCTCCCAGCTCCATCCCTCCTGCACTCCTGAGCCCCCTCCCGCCCCATCTCTCCCCAACCCCACCATCAAGCCCCAACTCATACAGAGGCAGGAAGCACCAGATGCCATGTCTGCAGTCAAGGGACCAGAAGCAGGAGGCTGAGGAAAAAGAGCCTTGTGTCCAGCTTATATGCATAGGCTGGGTTGGAAATCTGCTGCCTGAACCACTGTGTCTGTACCCTTTGTTCTCAAATGATCTCATGAATTTTCTTTCACTTTTGCTACAGTGGAGTCGGTAAACAAAGAATACTGTCTGATCAAGCACTTTGTTCTCTGCCAAAGCATCTACCCTCCTGTTCCAAACACAGGATGGTCCTTCTCTGTTGAGAATTCTCCCTGCTTCACAACCACATCCCTGGTCCTGACCTCTGGACCCGGAAAGGCTGGCCAGGGTCGGTGAGGAGTGATGTGACCAGAGCAGCCTGTTCACACCAGGCTGGCAGAGGGAACCAGGTCTCCAGAAGACACAGGATGAGTCTCCTGCATGGATGGAAGACAAGGCTGCAGTCCCAGGGCGCCACCTGCTACGTGCGCTCCAGCAGGTGCGTTCGCCTCCTCAGATGTTTGTTTTCCAGCCTTAACATGAGACGATTGGACAGAATTTCTAAGTTCTTCCAGGCTCAGAAAACTGTTCATAAAATGTTCTTCACAAAGAACTTTAGGTTCCTGGGTCGTGAGCTCTCTAACCTTCTTCCTATCCTGCCCCAGAACCTGCAAGCCAAATCCAGTACTTAAAACAATCCTAGACCAACAATCAAGTGCTGAGCCCACCTTCCGCACACCAGAACGCCGCACATCCGCTGTCACATCACAGCACTGTTTCCCCACCTTTCCGCTGGACATTACCTACTCCCTATGCGCTGTGACCTCCCAGAATCTCCCAGGAAGCTGTTGCTTCCTCCCTGGCTCTGCAGGGAGGATTTGGATTGAGACAAAGAGGGCGTGCACAGGCTGTGTGCCCTCAGGGAATTGACTTGACTACTCTGATCCTCCTAACATCCCAAAGGAACCACTACCCTCTCCCAAACTCAGGACAGTGCCACAAAAGCCGTTCTCAAAACACCATTTATTAAAAATACTCCCAATGTTTTCCCAATAAAAATTCCCTAAATATGTCAAGTTACCATCTTTTTTGCTGTACTTTTAGTGGCCATTCACTCACGGAGAGATGCGAAATGGTCCCATTTTACCGCAGGAGTCTCCAACCTGCAGAACTTGGATTTACAGAAGCGCCTGTGTAGGGTCATGGGATCCAAGACCAACCAAATATTTTTAAAAACTCAACTTAAATCATGTTGTTCTCCTTGAAGCTCTTACTGGTCAATAAAATTGGAGGAGGACTGAGACCATCCGCCTGTAGGGCTGCACCTGCATCCGGCGTCCAATAGGATCCGGGCATCCTGAAGCGTCAGCAGTAGCCGAGCAGAAAACACCGGATCAGGTCGCGGGAGGCTGGAGCCAGCGCTGCAAGAAGACGTTAGAAAGAAGCCGGGAAGCCATCTCCGTCGTGTTTGCGCAAAGCATCTGAGCCCCTCCCCTCCTCCCACCTTGGCCTCGGACAGGACCCCTGGTCTGAGTCCCTCCCCTCCTCCCACCTTGGCCTCCAGACTGGACCCCTAGTCTGAGCCCACCCCTCCTCCCACCTTGGCCTCGGGACCGGACCCCTCGTCTGAGCCCCTCCCCTCCTCACACCTGGACCTCACACCCGGACAGAGATCAGGTGTTGAAAGCTGCTTAGCATTCGCGGCTTCTCATGCTTCCCTCTCAGCCCTTCCCGCCTGGGCAGGCTACACCATGTTGGGGCCCATGTCTCCTTTCTCGGAAAAGCTCCTGCAGGGGGGCCCAGGACGAGGTTTCTTGGGAACAGAGTCTGTCGAGCCGCGGACCTGCCGGTCTAGCTGCGCCCGTGCACCGTCCGCGTTCCCTGCAGATGCCCCGACACCAGGTCAGGGAGCATGCCTTTCCTTCTGGCCCGCCCCTCGGCCTCAGGGATTTACACAGATCAACCTGTGCGCAGCACCTCCTCCAGGAAGCCCTCTCTAACTCCCTTCCTATGCTGGGCCATGGGCCCATCCTCTATCCAGTCATACGCCTTCCTTGAGCCCCTCGGAACAAGCTTCTCCGGCAATAAGACCACCTGCTTACTTGTCTGTCACCCCCACTAGACAGTAGGAATCTTGGGGACCATGACTGTGTCTTGACTGACCTGTATCTTCAGCACTTCGTGGGCATCTGTCTGGTGCAGTAAATACTTGATATTTACCAACGGCATGAGGACTTACGAGATTTCAGGAACTCCAGGAGACATTTGTAAATGCACCTCATTCCCTGTTTCCACTTTCTATGGGGTAAAAGTTGGTACCCCTGCAGCTCCATTGATAAGAAGGGAACTCACCCACAGTCTTACTCGTAGCTGCTGGCAAGCAAGACTGGAGATGCAAATCTCTACTGCCTTCCTTCCAATCTTCTCCCCGAACAAAGGAAAGGGGGAGTGTGCGGTGTGCGTGCCCTGGCATTACAGGAAGGGCACAAGTCAGGGAAGGAACAGGGCAGAGAAGGAGGCTGGTGAGGAATGAGCTCGAGCTCGGGTCTGTATGCAGATGGAGCATCCTGTGTGGTGGGCCCTGCCTGGACCTCCGGGCAGCCGGGCGAGAGCAGACGTCAGAGCCTGGAGGAGGACAGCCCCCCGCCCGAACACTGGTGGCGGGGGTGGGGATAGTTTACAGGGGTTGCTGTCACACCCGCCTCAGCCATAGGGGAGTCACCCAGGGGAGCTGGGGATTTGCAGCTCGGAGCTGCTGCAAGGGCAAGCCTGGGATTTCCCTAAGAAAAACTGATTCAGGGGATTTCCTACCCAGACAGGGTTGGATTCCAAGACGCACTGTGCTTTCTAGGAATCCAAATAACAGACCTGGACTCTGGTCTCTCTCCACATAGTTCCCTTCCGTGCCACGGCCCGGGCTGTGCCCTGTACCCTTCTGCTGGCCGCAGGGAGGATTTCTTCCCAGGACCTGACCTGGTCCTTGCTTCCTAGCACAGTAGAAACCTGAAGCTTTTTCCCTGCGTCATAATAATTTTTTTTAGACTCAGAAAGATTCCTTTTCGTTTGCCCTTTGTCATAGATTCTGGGTCTGGAGTTCTCTCTTGCCCATCAAGAAAGCAGTACGCAGGGTTGAAATGCGAGAGAGGCTCCTGTCCTGGAGGAGACAAGAGCCCCAAGTCAGGGTCCTTGCTCCATTTTTATCAGGATCAGGCTTACAAGCATGATGGGCTGATGGGTGTGCACAAAGAGACAATGAAACCGTGAACATTTACTCATGGGCGTGGGGGAAAGGGAGTTTTGAAGATATATGTGTTAGGGGTTTGAGTCAACACAAAACAAAATTCTGGTGGCACCACCTCTGTTTACCTAAACTGACCTGGGGACAAGAAAGACAGAGCAAGCTACCTCAGGGTCAACAAGGCACCTTTCTCTTTCTAATTAGCTCCACTCTGGGCAACTTCACCCCACAGCAGTCTAAAGTCCTGTTTTTCCTGTTTACCTAATTTGGTCCTTCCTTCCTGTGAAAGCAGCTTTCTGCTATTGGACTAAATTGGAATACCTAATCTTGTATATTTTTATCCTGAGACTTCCTATTCCTACACCTTTGTATAGGGGCTTTTGCCCCATTTACCTAATTTTGTTTACCAAATCTTGTTTACCCAAACTTGGGTGTGTTCATCCTATGGCTTTCTAATTCTTTATGCCTTGTTAACCCATTGGTGCAAGCTCAGGGAATTCCTAAACTTATTCCCCACAGCCCTTCAAACAGATTCAGAAAAGCAGCCTAGGTAAAATGTCATGCGACAGAGCTCTTACCAGCTCATAAAACGAAGGTGTCAGACACATACACGTACAAACGGTACAACCGGCCAGTGTGACTCCCTCAAAAACCAGGCAGGTCGGTGCCGGTGCCGGGCGGGTCACTAGGCAGGTCACTGTTATCAGGGCAGAGGCCCCTCTTATGTGTTTTCTGGTGTCCCAGGGGGCATGTGGAAAACGGCCCAGAGAGCTAGAATACCACTTCAGAAATGCCAACCAAACTCCATCACAAAGTTCCTGAGAATTTTCATTTATTTATGATTGGAAAAACAATTCATCCACTCTCATGAAGGACAATGTGGAATACTTACAAATGTAAGTCTTTATTTCTGGATTTTTCCATCATGGTCCATTGATTTGTATGTCTCCCTTTATGTCACTACTACACTGTCTTCATTACTCAAGCTTCATAATAAGTTTAAAATCAAAGTATAATTTTGCCACCTTTTTATTTTTTACAAAGTGTTTTTGGCTATTCTTAGTCCTTTGTATTCTAACTTTTAAGATCAGCCTGTCAGTTTCAAAGGAAAGAAAGAAAGAAAGAAAGAAAGAAAGAAAGAAAGAAAAGAATCCTGCTTTTTAAATAGGTATTGTATCCATAGAGAAATTTGAGGAGAATATCCACTTTTACATTTTCTTCTAGAATTTTTTTTAATTTTCTTATTTATTTTAAAATTTACATCCAAATTAGTTAGCATAGAGTGCTACAATGATTTCAGGAGTAGATTCCTTAGTGCCCCTTACCCATTTAGCCCACCCCCCACAACCCCTCCAGTAACCCTCAGTTTGTTCTCCATGTTTATGAGTCTCTTCTGTTTGGTCCCCCTCCCTGTTTTTATATTATTTTTATTTCCCTTCCCTTATGTTCATCTGTTTTGTCCCGTGAAGTCCTTAAATGAGTGAAATCGTATGATATTTGTCTTTCTCTGACTAATTTCATTTAGCATAATACCCTCCAGTTCAATCCACATACTTGCAAATAGCAAGATTTCATTCTTTTTGATTGCCGAGTAATACTCCATTGTGTGTGTGTGTGTGTGTGTGTGTGTGTGTGTGTGTATATATATATACACACACACACACATATATATACATATATATGTGTGTATATGTATATATGTGTGTGTATATATATTTATACATATATACATATACACACATATATATGTATATATACCACATCTTCTTTATCCATTCATCCATCGATGGACATTTGGGTTCCTTCCATACTTTGGCTATTGTCAATAGTGCTGCTATAAACATTGCGGTGCATGTGTCCCTTTGAAACAGCACACCTGTATCCCTTGGATAAATACCTAATAGTGTAATGCTAGGTCATAGAGTAGTTCTATTTTTAGTTTTTTGAGGAACCTCCATACTGTTTTCCAGAGTGGCTACACCAGCTTGCATTCCCACCAGCAGTGCAAAAGAGATCTTCTTTCTTCGCATCCTCGCCAACATCTGTCCTTACCCGAGTTGTTAATGTTAGCCATTCTGACAGGTATAAGGTGGTATCTCATTGCGGTTTTGTTTTGTATTTCTCTGATGATGAGTGAAGTTGAGCAGTTTTTGATGTGTCAGTTGGCCATCTGGATGTCTTCTTTGGAGAAGTGTCTATTCATGTCTTCTGCCCATTTCTTCACTGGATTATTTGTTTTTTGGCTGTTGAGTTTGAGAAGTTCTTTATAGATTTTGGCTACTAACCCTTTATCTGATATGTCATTTGCAAATATCTTCTCCCACTCTGTCAGTTGCCTTTTAGTTTTGCTGATTGTTTCCTTCGCTGTGCAGAAGATTTTATTTTGATGAGGTCCCAGTAGTTCATTTTTACTTTTGTTTCCATTGCCTCCAGAGATGTGTTGAGTGAGAAGTTGCTGCGGCCAAGATCAAAGAGGTTTTTGTCTACCTTCTCCTCGAGGATTTTGATGGCTTCCTGTCTTCCATTGAGGTCTTTCGTCGACTTTGAGTTTATTTTTGTGTA